GCTATTAAATCGTACTAGGAAACAAATAAAAACAATATACTGTAATTGAAAGATACAAGCAACATGGTTATAGTAAGTGGAAGAGATAAATACTAGTAAGGAAGAGAAGATTAATAGTAGTGCAGATTTAGTGAATAGTTTGACAGTGTTGTGGGAATTAGTTGTTTAGTAGAGTGATGGTGTTCGGGGGGAAAACTGTCCTTGTGTCTAGTTGTTCTGGTGTGCAGTGCTCTATAGCCTCATTTTGAGGGTAGGAGTTGAAACAATTTATGTCCAGGATGCGAGGGGTCTGTAAATATTTTCACAGCCCTCTTTTTGACTCGTGCAGTATACAGATCCTCAATGGAAGGCAGGTTGGTAGCCATTGTCTCTTCTGCAGTTCTAATTATCCTCTGAAGTCTGTGTCTGTCTTGTTGGGTTGCAGAGCCAAACCAGACAATTATGGAGGTGCAGATGACAGACTCAATAATTCCTCTGTATAAGATCATATGATCTCTGTATTAAGTTCATCAAACTTTAGATCAAAAAGTGTACACATCACAAGAGACTATGAAGCCTTCACCCGGTCAATATTTCTCCCGTCTCCAATATGGACATAGGAGCACTGAGTTGTTTTGTCATGGCATGTGCTCCCAACTATTGGACATGGCAACTATATTTCAGAACAGCTGAAATGCTTACTGTTTCATGTCCTAAAGCTTTTAGCGTCTTGAAATATGGTCTGTAAAAATAGTATTTTCATAAGCCCTTAAAATCCTTATCTTCCTGAAATTTTTATGGATTCTAATAATAAAGCCCTTTTTGCGTTCATGTCGAACACATGGAGAAGACCCAACTTGTCTACTTCAAAAGAAAACCGTCAGCATGAAATACTACGGATTGTGCTCTGATTTTACGACCCGCCTCACCGAAGAGACTAGGTTTCTGACTTCCCTATGTTGCACAGTTATTGGCCCGGTGGAATAGGATTAAAAATGGGTATTCCTGAAATTCAGGAAAAGAAACTATTTTTGCTGGGTTATATTTGATCAGTTGCGATATGAAAAACCTTTCAGGTAAGGAGGAGCAACGCTGCGAGTGACAATTTTGTACAACTGTCTATTTTCCACGTTGCAAATCAGTCAAAGATTCTACACATCGGTGCTTGTCTTTGTCCCACCTCTTCACCCCCACCCCCCAAAATTGCAGGAAAATTGAATTCTCTCGTATGTCCATTTTGATATTTGAACTGTATAAATAATCTAGTACCGTGTTGGCGAACCAATGGCACGCATGCCACAGGTGGCACACGGAGCCCTATCTGTTGGCATGCGAGCGTTGCCCTAGGTCAGCTCCAGTGTGTATGTGCGCGCCAGCCAGCTGATTTTCAGGCCTTCCGGTCCCACCAGAAGTTGAGAAATGGGCTGTTTCTGGCCTCCGGAGGGCCTCCAGGGGAGGGGAGGAAGGCCGTTTTTGCCCTCCTGAGGCGTCTAGAAAACTTCTGGAGCCTGGGGAGGATGAAAAACAGGCCTTCTGATCCCACCGGAAGTTGGGAAATTGGGCTGTTTCCGGCCTCTGGAGGGCCTCTGGGGAATGGGGAAGGCCATTTTCGCCCTCCCCAGGCTCCTAGAAAGCCTCTGGAGGATGAAAAATGGGCCTACCAGGCCCACTATGTGTGCCAAAAGTGGGGAGAGCACAGGGGGTGGGGTACATTGAATTATAGGTGTGGGCACGCACACGCGTGACCGTCCCCCTCCCACACTCCTCATGCTTTTGGCACGAGACAGCAAAAAGGTTAGCCATCACTGATCTAGTAGCTACATCATTGTAAACGACCTAATTGCAAAACTGCCTTGCAGTTAGATTTCAGGTAAATTTCCGAATGTAAGGGGGCCTAGGAAAGGTGTAGCAAATCTACATGCAATTCAAATACGATTCTCAGTCATCCAGATCATGGTTGTCCCAAAGGTGCTTTTTTTTTCCCCCAAAAGGCAACTGGACTTCCTTGGTCTTTTCATTGAAAACGTTTCACTTCCCATCCAAGAAGTTTCTTCAGTTCTCAGTTCAATTCAGAGAACTGAAGAAGCTTCTTGAATGAGGAGTGAAATGTTTTCAAGGAAAAGACTAAGCAGGTCCAATTACCTTCTGGAAATGCACCTTGGGAATTATAGTGTCCTTCCATCCACGATGATTTTTTTTTTCATTATACTTTGGAATTCTGAGGTAAAATTGGATATAATCCAACATGGCACCTGCAACCAGTGGTGGGATCCTGCCGGTTTAACAACTGGTTCGGTGATTGTGCGCTGCACGGACGTGAACAGTTTTACGAAAACTTACCTTCTGCGTTACTGCTGGGGAGTAACGCAGCTGAGGCACGGCAATCCGCTCTGCGGTGCAAATCAGCTGAGAAGATATAGGTCAGTAAAGCGCAGGGGCGGGAGGACGGGCCCACCTGATCGTTGGAGCTACTGGTTCGCCCAAACTGGTCCGAACCGGTAGAATCCCACCCCTGCCTGCAACCCATCCGGGGCTTTCTGAACACTTCTTCCCCTTCAGGGTGTTGTGGCTCCGTTACCTGAGCCTGTGTCATTGGCAGGAGAGGACTCCGAGAGTGAAGGAGAGAAGTTGGCAAGGCCTCCCTCTCCAGGACCCTCCTCTCTGGCAATGCCTTCGGTATCCACCGAAGGGCAAGAGATAGGGCCGGGGCCAAGCACGTCCACGCAGCCACAGATGGACAGTGATGAGGGTAATGAGTCTTGGCTGGATCCACGCCAGCGTCGCAGAGATAAGCGCGCGCAACAGAAGAAAAGGCGTGCCCGAGATTAGGCTGAGTCACTGGACCACACCCCACAGGGTATAAAAGAGGGTGTGGTGGCCGGTTCAGCTCTGTGACAAGCAAAAAACGGATATCGGACGACCTTCTTTGTATTTACTGGATTTTGTTGATTATTGTGTATTGGCTTTGTTCCCAGACGAAGGGAGAAACTCCCCCCTTGTGAGTAAAGAATACCTGGCCACCAGCCACTGGGTTGCTGCCAATTCTGATACCAGATAAACTGTTGTTGGCTGAGTTCTTTAACTGTTGCCTGTCTGTGGGGGTGCGTGTGTGAGACGGGGACAGAACACAGGAATCCATCACACATTGCATTCCCTAAACTTTTCATGCTATAATTTAACTACTCCAATGTTCAAAATGTTGTTGGGTGGCTAGGGCAGCGATGGCTAGCCTTTTTGCCATCGCGGCCAAAAGTGGGGGGAGTGTGGGGGGGTTGCACGCATGCGTGCCTGCCCACACCCATAATGCAATGCGCCCTGCCCCCTAGAAAGCCTCTGGAGCCTGGGGAGAGTGAAAAACGGGCCTTCGCCACCACCCCGGAGGCCCTCCAGAGGCCGGAAACAGCCTGTTTCCTGACTTCCGGTGGGCCTGGAAGGCCCGACAATCAGCTGGCTGGTGAGCGCATGCGCACTGCAGCTGAACTAGGGCAACGCTTATGTGCCTACCGATATGGCTCCATGTGCCACCTGTGGCATGCGTGCCATAGGTTCGTCATCACAGGGCTAGGGAAAAAGCTGATTTAAAATGAAAAATGGAGTGGGAGATAGTTTGCAATCACACCCAGCATTTTTCCCCCTAGAAATATCTCCCTCTTACTCTGAAGAAAACAGATGTTTAACTCAGTGGTGGATACTTGTATTTATTGCAGTTTTCATGCGACTTTATATACTTATGCATACATTTATAGTTTGATTTTAAAGTTGTAAGCCTCCCAGAGTCACCTTGTGGCACGATGGGCGGCAAAATCATTTAATAAATAAATAAATAAATTGTTGGAAAGTCAACAAATATATGATCAGACCAATTCCTATCAAAAAGAAATTTCATTTTTTTGTATTATCAATCAATTCAATGAATTCAATCAATCAGTTGGTCCAGTTGTCATGATTTAACCTTTTTAAATATTTTTGGCCTGGATGATTGAGTCTACATTTACATTTGTAGTACATTTTGGGGAGAAATCCTTACGGTTGGTAGGGCAAAAGTTAGTACATTCCAACAAATCTGACTCTCTACTTAACTTAAATTTTTCATTTTGACTGAAGAAGTTACTTGGGTGAGTAATGAAACATCTCAGTTGAATAAACTTTGGTCCAATTGCCATGATTTAACCTTTTTAGAGATCAATTCCTATCAAAAAGCGATTACATTTGGTTGGGGTAGTATATCCAAAATTGCCTCGTAAGCAAAAATTAAAAAATTAAAAAAAATAGTCAATATTCTTGTATACTACCCGCTTCTTTCTTTCTTCCTTCCTTCCTTCCTTCCTTCCTTCCTTCCTTCCTTCCTTCCTTCCTTCCTTCCTTCCTTCCTTCTCATTCTGTTCTCTTTCTCTCAATTTCTCTCTCTCAATTTCTCTCTCTCTCTCTCTCTCTCTCACACACACACACACACATACACACACACAATTGTAACTGGCAATTGGCCTTGAATACAACAGAAGCCAAACTAAAATTGGTTTTTTATTATTTTCAATCAAGCTATTAATATCATATTTTATAACCTCACCAATAGCCTTTTGTACAGCACTATTTTGTGATGTGTTACCACACAGCTGAGAAAATAAGGAGATCTAGTTCTTTTTCTACAGTTTGGTCTGAATGGGGAATTAAACCATGAAAAAATATTTAAGGTAAGAAGAAGGAGGAACTACAGAAGAAAATTTCCCACACCCTGAGCTAATCTCCATCTTCTGCTGCTGGTGTGTCTACAGATAGACCTTGACTTACAACAGTTCATTTAGTGACACTTTGAAGCTATAACGGCACTGAAAAAAAGAGACTTATGATAATTTGTCACACTTATGACCATTGTAGCATCTCCGTGTTCCTGTGATTTACATTCAGATGCTTGACAATTGACTCACATTCAGGGGTGAAATTCAGCAGGTTCTGATAGGTTCTGGAGAACCGGTAGCAGAAATTTTGAACAATTCTAAAGAATATTTGGGAACTTTACGTACCGCTGGGCAGGTCGTACTGCATCCTTTTTCCAGACATTCTGTAATTTGGAGTCCTGTAACCGCATCTTTCATGTTGGTGCAGGAACATTCCTTACAGCCTTCCTCCCAGGTCATGCCAAGAGGGTAGACAATGTTGCGGTGGACGCACACCTGCCAACAATGAGAAGTAGTTTCATTTCATCTCCTTGAGTTCTTGCAGCATGCTTGGCTTCAACCATCCATAGAATAGAAGAGTAGAATAAAGTAGAGAGTAGAGTAGAGTAGAGTAGAGTAGAGTAGAGTAGAGTAGAGTAG